GGACATAACTGCAAAACATAGCTAACAACTGCCTCTTGTCATGATAAGCAAGTATTCCAAGTTTCATATTGATACCTTTACACCGTAGGTATCGCGCTTTCCAGAAACAGTATAGAATTTTGAAGATGAGGATTATTTGTGGGGAGGACAGGTAGGTGATTTTTATTCCGGTTTATTATTCACAATACAAGTAGTTTAGTTTCTTAAGAATAAAACACGTTTTAAAAAATAAACAATCTTACAGTATAGAGCGAAGTAGGTTTCGCAGAGTTCGGTATAGACCAAGCGACTTTGATCCACTTTTGTTACAGTTTATACCCAAGTTTCGGTTACATTTTAGATACTTGCCAAATTTCAGATATGATTCGTGTATCTATTATTTTATTGAAAAATCAAGAGTTCTCATTAAATATATTCTTGAAGGGGTGTATTACATTTGTTAATTAACAGAAAAATAACGTTTTGCTATTCTTAACTTAGAATACCTATGTTTAAATTGAGACTTTTGCAGAATGAGTAATGTCCTATGTACTAAGAACTGTTTCCACAGCAATAACAATAACTGTTATTAAATTGTATGGAGGGAAAGGAAGGTATTGCTTGATTCCATTACATATTATATGGCATATTAGTTATTGTTTGTAGACAAAAGTCATAAAGAAAGCAAAACAAGGCAAAATTGATAATGTTGCAAGCTGAATTTGATTGATCCTGTTCATGGACGGTAGTGGTAACTCTTTTTGCACCGGATTAAGCAGAATTCAACATTTAACATAAACATCCGCAGATGCGCTGATTTGGCGGTTATCATTGAAATTCAATGTGACATGTGATTGCCATTCCATGAAAAGCGACATATGATCCCCAAAGCAAAAACAAATGCGTGTGCTCTAAAGAAAGAAACGAAATAAAATGGAATTTTGAAAGGGGAATAGGAGGTTTGAGCTGTCAAAAGACAAAATTAAAAAGCAGGCAATATATCCTAAGGTGATTTAACTGTATTCAAGTGAGGAATACTGGAACCTTGAAACTTATTTCAGACTAGAACTCCGCGAGTCGGATTCGTCGCCTTGTGAACAGTATAACTGCCACTTATGCATTTCCTTCTTAAATATAGTTTATTTATAAACACCGATCTTACAATGTACATGCACCTTAAATTTAAGTGGCATTTGTACTGATTGTAACAATGTTACATCAGGATTTATGAAACTGGTATATTATCAAAAATAAAAATACCATGGGAAAGTTTTACACTGACAGATCAAATGGAGGACTCTGTGATGGATTCTTGAGGACTGCACATCAGGTCAATGAAAAAAGCTTAGCTATCAATTTTGGAGTCAATCAAACTTATAGTGTCCAAGTTATGCTCTGGACAAGCCTATTAAGTAATAAGAAAACTAACAAAGGGCAATAACTCAAACATCAAAAAGTGCACAGTAAAAGTTATAGTGCACTGCACTTCATCTCAATGGAATCTATCCAAGTCAATAGCTTTTTAGTGTAGGAGAATTGACCCGAACAAAATTTAAGTATTATTATAAACAAAGGGCAATAACTCTTGATTCAAAACATAGCTTTTATAGTTCAGGTAAAATGGCCGGGATAAAAAAGTAAGAAAATATACAAAAAGCAATAACTCAAAAATCATGGAGTACCGGCTTTTGTGCACTGCGCTTCATCTCATTGAGATCACTCATCCTATGAAGTTTCATATCAAAAGCTTTTAAAGTTTAGGGGAAATGGCCCGGACAAAATATAAATAAAGTATGAAAATTAACAAAGAGCAATAACTAAAAAAATAAGAAGTGCAGAGTAACGGTTCTTGTGCACTGCACTTTCTCTTTAATAAGATCTATCATTCTATGATGTTTTATTAAGTCCATAGTTTTTAAAAAAAATATGAAAAGTGGCCCGGACAAAAATAAATTACGAAAATAAACGATGGGCAATAACTCAAAAATTAAGAAGTGCAGAGTACCAGTTATTGTGCACTGCACTTCTTCTTAATGAGATCTATCATCCTATGAAGTTTCAACTCCATCGCTTTTACAGTTTCATGGTCCGTGCACAATTAAAGTATGAACATTAACAAAGGGCAATAACTCATATTAATAAAAGGCAATAACTCAAAAATTAAGAAGTGCAGAGTAACAACTATTATGCACTGCACTTCGGGTTATTGAAAGGAGCATGCAAACCAACGGAGTCAATCCGACTTATAGTGAATGAGTTATGCTCCGGATTAACCTTAGTGTTTGTTACTTTAGCTTTTGTTGTGCAGCAGAAAAACAGAGAAATTCTTCTACAAAAAAAAAGAAAAAGAAAAAAAGAGTAAATATGCATGTCATTTATTTTTGAAATTGTTATTATTATCTAAAAAGGACCATATTTTCAAAAGAATGTGTGAAATATCAAATAATTAAGTTACAAATATTGAATGTTTTAATAACAGATGTCAAATTAATAATTATGTAACCGGAAGATATTTGTTACTGAATTTTCCTAGTATCTATTTGTTAACGTCAGGATAACCTGTGCGTATTTTATATATTATTTGTGGTAATCCACTGAAAAAGTGACATTAAATTATAAAACTACATTGTGTTAGTGATTTAATCCAACATCCAGTAGGACTCCAATTAGAGCATAATACTTTTCTTGGATTTTAAGTTTCGTCGTCATTTAGGTCATGTGACAACATTCCAACTTAACTGTAGAACAAAGACCCAAGATACCCCTTAATGAATTATTTCAGACAGCATCGGATACTTGATTAGAACCGCCAACCTTACGTAAACTAGATTCCTCACATACAAACAATCCAACGCCATGACGGGATTCACGGCTCCACTTCAAAATTGTGGTGTACGGTTAAACGAGCGAACGGCATTTCCAAGATGGAGCGGAAGGCCGATTTAAACAGCCAATTGTAAGTATTGTTTATGTTTCTGCCTTGTTATTCATTTAAGCCGTATTTTTCCGAAAAAAAATGAAGTTCCGTGTAGGATTGTTTTAGGCTTCCGCCTTGCGCCCAACAACATACCTTTCGCTCCATCTCTTTCCCTTTGGCTCCACTACTTTCGGAAAAAAATCAATGTACAAATTTAAGAAATCCACCAAGTTTCTTTTGTACAAAAGACTAGCTCTTGTTACTGGTTGATATTTTTCTTAAACACTTTTTCAAGAAATCCGAAGTGGAGAGCGTTTTCACTGTTGAAGTTTTATATTTAACAAATAGTCGTTCACTTCGTCAGAGGGAAAAGTTCTCCCGGGCTTAATATAATTTTCGTTTTGTAACAGTTTAGACCATTGAGAGCCTAAAACAATCTCTACACCGATTTTTGATATAATACAACTTAAATGAATTACAAGACAAAAATAAAACATAAACAAAAATTACAATAAGCCATCTCGGAAATGCCGCTCGCTCGTTTTACCGTACACAAATATATTGAAGTGGAGCGACAGTTTGCCGGGCGTTGGAGTTTAACCACAGCGGTAAAGAACAAGAGCTGTCACCCAAGTGACGAATGCCCCCGAAAAGGTTTCTTAAGCATGCAGGTATTATGAAAAGAAAACTAATTGCTGAATATTGTTCTTTGTATTATTGTACCTGTAATCTCTAATTATGTTCAAAATATAAGTGTGACCTTGACCTTTGAAGAAGGGACGTGGTTTCTGGACGCGACAAAATGTTGTTATGAGATAGACATTTGTGTCAAGTTATTTCAAAATCCCTCAATGCATGACAAATACAGTCTAGACATAAAGACATTTTAACATTTGACCTTTAAGAAAGACCTTGACCTTGGGGGAGCAACCCAATTATTGCTGTCTGCACATCGTCTCATTATGGTGATCACTTGTGCCAAGTTATTTCAAAACATTTTCAGCAGTTTAAAAGTTATGGAGCAGACACGAAAGTGTTACAGACGGACAGACAGACGGATGGATTGACAGGGACGGACTGACAGACGCCTTTCCGCTATGATGAAGGGCATTAATAAATTACTTTAATTAAATAATGACAAAATAATCTTCACTTCAACAAATAAGCATTCGAAATGACGCCAGGGTCATTATTTGAACAAAGAAAGTGAATGCTTTCTTCACCATGCTACACAGCGAAACCTCTTTGGTTCAGGAGAAGAAAATTTTAGACATTGCCTTAAATAAATCTATATTTCTGAATTTTGTATCCCAGAGAGTTACTGAGCAGATGTAAATGGGCACACATGTGCACGACAGACGAACGAATAACCATAAGACAAATAAGGTAACCAGTTGAGATTGATTAAAAATCTAGTATCATTCATACATTTTACCTATTATTTTGTCTAAACTTTTACCGAAATCTGGGTTTATAAACTGTAACAAAATCGAATCAAAGCCGCTTGGTCTATAATGTAACCCTGTGAAATTCAACTCGCTCTATGCTGCCGGATCCAGTTCCTTACAAGCAAAGAACAAAAACATCTTTAAGTAACTAAACTACTTGTAGTATGGACCGAAATAAAAATCACTCACATATAACCTTCCATCTTACAAATTGTATACTGTAGCCGGAAAGCGCGAAACTGCAACACGGTGCATTGTTTGTGAAATGTACGGTGTTCCGTTTGTACAATCTTGATTTTTATTTCGTCCCTTCCCGCGATACACTATGGTAAGATAGTGAAAACGCGATGGTACGATGACACGATGATGAAAACACGATGGTACGATAGTGAAAACAAGGTATTTCGATGGTGAAATCGCGATGGTACAATGGTTAAAACACGATGGCGCGATGATGAAAACACCGCGTTTTCACCATCGTACCATCGTGCATCGCGGGTAAAAAAACCCCAAAAAATCACAATTGTCCAAACGGAACACCATAGAAATGTGTAACATTTTTTTGCATGACGATAACAAAGACGATAACTACGACGCCGTAGCGGTCAAAATAGTTCCACTTTTTATTCAAAACAGACCTTAAAAGAAACTCTAACCTGCAATGACATTTTAATGGTACCTTCACCATGACTTCTGAGTTCATCAGGCTCACCATTTGTCTTAATGTATGGTAGTTTTCCTGTGAGAATTTCGCGTATAACTGCAATATAGATAACGTCCTATTTAAATGAAGTATAGAAAATACAAATACTCTGTGTGAAACAAAGACAATTAAACGTTTAAATTCACCAGATGGTCATATATATGATATATCACCAAAATCTAAACCCCATGAAAAACTCGGCTCATATTGCACCTGATAGTCTATCCTATTTCGTGCCGTATGTATCTTTTGAACCGATGGAAGACAATTAAAGTTCTTGGCAGAATTGTTAACCATAATAAGGAAAGCGAAGGTTTGACCATCATCAGGTCAACGTCAAGGTCACAATAACTTTTTCTCAAAATTCTTATATATTTTTATAAAACAAAAGGAAATATTTCAGTGTATGAATTTATTAATATATTTCCTGCCTTAATTTCGCAAATTATATAGTGGGTATTAAAGTTTTTGCCATACAGGATTAATTTTCATTGAGTGGCATAAAAAACAATTTCATGAGAGGCAGTTGCGACAAGTAAAATATGACAATTTTCATACAACAATATAAAAATAAATCCTGTTTTTACAAAAAAAACTTGAATTTTCTGTCTCTTTTAAACATTTTTTCCTTTTTTGACATAACGTTTTGAAAGACTTTTTCTTAAATTTTGTATATTAACTAAATTTAGGCAAGACAACAGTATTATGGAAAATATGTTTTACTGCTGTGAAAAATAATTTTTACAGTGAAAATACTGAATGTGAAATGTGCATAATTTTATATCATCAATATTTGTTTTATATATTATTATAATTATAAATAACTTATCATGATTTTATTTATCAAACTTGATATTTTTCGACTTTTTCAATTAACATTATAATTATTGAAGAGATTTTTGGTGAATATGATTTAATCATTTTTTTTATAAACCAATATTGATAAGTGATTTTGGTTGATGGGCTGATAAAAAGTTACTATTTTGTTATATCCTTCTTAAATGATTAATTATAAGACTTTGTTTATTTCTTACATTAGGTTTGAAACGTTAGGCTATTTTCTGTGGCTCTGAAAATTTGTTCATTTGACATAGGCTTTGTGCAAACAGTAATGAGCCGACAAACTGTTTAAGTAGAACTGCGGATGAAACTTTGTAGGATAATACGGAAAGGTAAAACAAGAGCCGGTTAAACCGGGTGATGCTCCCCGAATAGGTTTTGAACACAGGAAGGTATACCTCTTGTAGTGTCAGAGTTATGTCACAGACAAAGTTCAAAGTGTAAAAACAACCCAAATGTTGTGCACGACACATTGTCTCAATATGGTGATCATTTCTGTGAAATAGTTGTAAAATCAGACTTCAAATAAGGAAGTAATTGGCTAGACACGATTCTGCTGCAAGGTCATGCTGTGACCTTGACCTTCAAGGTAGCGCCCCAAATGTTGCATGTGACACGTCGATTCAATATGGTGATCATCTCTGTGAAATAGTTGTTAAATCCGACTTCAAGGAACGAAGTCACGGGCCGAACACGATTTTGCTGCAAGGTCATGCTGTGACCTTGACTTCAAGAAAGCGACCAAAATGTTGGGCGCGACACGTCATCTCAATATTTTGATCATTTCTGTGAAATAGTTTTAAAATCTGACTTCAAATAACGAAGTTATGGGCCGGACAAGATTTTGCTGCAAGGTCATGCTGTGACCTAGACCTTTAAAGTAGCGACCCAAATGTTGCGCGCGACACGTTGTCTTAATATGGTGATCATTTCTGTGAACAGTTTTAAAATCCGACTTCAAATAACGAAGTTATGGGCCGGACAAGATTTTGCTGCAAGGTCATGCTGTGACCTTGACCTTCAAAGTAGCGACCCAAATGTTGCGTGCTACACGAAGTCTCAATATGGTGATCATTTCTGTGAAATAGTTTTAAAATCTGACTTCAAATAACGAAGTTATGGGCTGGACAGGATTTTGCTGCAAGGTCATGCTGTGACCTTGACCTTCAAGGTAGCGACCCAAATGTTCGGCGCGACACGTCGTCTCAATATGGTGATCATTTCTGTGAAATAGTTTTAAAATCCGACTTCAAATAACGAAGTTATGGGCCGGACACGATTTTGCTGCAAGGTCATGCTGTGACCTTGACCTTCAAGGTAGCTACCCAAATGTTGCGCGCGACACGTCGTCTCAATATGGTGATCATTTCTGTGAAATTAGTTTAAAATCCGACTTCAAATAAAGAAGTTATGGGCCGGACACGAATTGGGACGTACGTACGGACGGACGGACGGACTGACGGACGGACTGACGGACGGACGGACAGACGGACAACCCGACGGCTGTATGCTCCCCCGAAATTTTTCGGGGAGCATAACAAGAGCCACTGCCAAGCGGGGGTGATGGTCAACTTTTCTTATTTCTAAAGTCACGCACATCAGAGGAAGACTATTATAGTAAAGAGCGCTCCAACAAACGATATTTTTTTTAACAAATAATATTCCAATTTCATATGTAACATTGGCAGTCAAGCCCATTCAAAGGTAAACTTCAGTTTAGTAATAAATGAGAACGTCCAGCCTCAAGCATCCCTTTCTTCGGCATGAAGACGCCTGCTTATTCGAAAGTAAGCCGTACCCAATGCTAGCTTACCATGCACAAGCAAAGTTTAATTATAACGATTCTGTACATGTAGGTACATGCCGATGGCGCACGTTTGTATGGGTATTACTTTTCCCGTTGATATCAAGCCAGGTACAGGTTTATTATCAATATCTACTGGACAAAACAGCAAAGCAGATAGGCCCAATCGCAACATTTCGGACCTTTCCGTCATTCTTCTGATAAGGACCTCGAACATAATAGAAAGAATACACAGAAATTTCAGTCTCACCTTCGCTCAGAACTAAACATGTAATCAAATAGTAATTTCATGCTAGGAGTTGATGACTAAATTACACCAATATATCGAGTAAAAGACTACTTAAATTAAGTATATTTACGTAATATATTAAGTAATAATATATATAAGTAAACAATACATTATTTATATACTTATGATTATGGTTGTATCATTGTTCTGATGAAATTATTGAGTAAACAAGATAACTCTTTTAATAAAACAACTTTACTTTCAGGGTGGAAAAGTGATATTGTATGAAACAGTGCAAAATTACTTTGAACAATTGATAACCAATTTTGCAAAATGTGATTCTAAATAGAATAATTGAAACTGGAACTTAATACCACAAAGAATAATAAATGACAAATTAGATTAAGACTAACATGTAAAACTGCTAAAGTTGACATGAGTTAACTTAAAAATTAAGTTTTGTTCCTTAATGTAAAATGGTAAGTTACAAAAGATTATAAAGTAAAATAAGATGAAAATTTTATAGCGATATCTACATTTATGAAATAAATTCAAGTTTATTTACATCCAACTTACTAGTTTGAGTATTTCTCTATTGAAAAGTTATATGAATATTACTTTTAATGGGAAAAACAACAAGTAGTTATGCAGCTGAAAAATACCAGTTCAGGCTAATAGGAGGCTCACAGGTCCACGAGTCGGGCTATTCAATATTTAATTATTATTATTATTATTATTATTATTATTATATTCTTATATAATACAACAGACACTTTACAGTAAATGAGTCTCAGTGCAAAACAATCACCTTTTTGTTATATAAACAATGATAATATCCCATGCACATGAAACATCAGGTTCAACAGCGTGTCCAAAAATTTATTGAAATGTGCTTTCCCAAAGTTCGGGTCCAATTCAACAAAATTGAAAAAAACAACAACAATTTTTAACACAATTCAATAAAAAAAAAATGAGCATGTATGTAAGGTACAGGAACAAATGTAATCTTTCTTTAGACCTAATTTTATTTCCTGGAGAAAATTCTTCACACTGACCTACAAAAATCCGTGCAGAAAGATGAATAGTAAGATGCAATGGGTGTCCAAATTTTAAAGCTGAAAGTTATTAACACAAACAGAAGATGAATTTATTTTTACCTAGCTAACAAGATTGCATATTTAAACACTAAATAGTACCAGAAAAAGATTCTTTCCTATACAATTGAACTTGCAACTCAAAGTGCAGAAGTGTCTAGTGTGGTCTTATTTTAGCATGTCAAATGAGAGACAGTGTGCAAATATGTTTACTATTCAGATACAAAACACATAACCTCAGATGATTTCTTCAAGATTTCTGAAAAGCAAACACGTCATGACATTAAGACTTTGTCATCTATTTCTTTTAGAAAAAATGCATAACATGTACACATGTTTGGAAGACATCCAAACATGAGTTGTTTCCCTTTCATTATTAAACTATAATTTGAAGAAATGCCATGGCCTGGGGAATTTTAGCATTAGCGACCCGTAACAGGGGCCAATAAAATTCTTGTGAGCAAACGTAATTAAAGACTACTCAAGAATGCTACAAAGTTTAATGGTCATCCATCAATTAGTTCAGTAGGAGAAGCTGTTAGGTTTTTCTAATTTTAGCTCAAGAGGCCCCTACAAGGGGCCAATCAAATTAATTTGAACAAATTTGATAATAGACTATCTAAGAATGCCACAGACAAAGTTTGGTGATTATCCATTAATTTGTTCAGTACAAAATGTTTTAAGGTTTTTTCTATTATTAGCTATAGCGGCCAAAAAAAGGGGCCCATCAAGTTAATGTGAGCAAACAAAAGAGGCTACCTAAGAATACTACAGACAAAGTTTGTTGATATTACATCCATTGGTTCAGTAAAAGAAGAAGAAGTTTTTTTCTTTCTATTTTTAGGTTTAGCGGAGCCTTAAAAGGGTCCAATAAAATTAATACAAGCAAGTTTGATAAAAGGTTACCAAAGAATGCTACAGACAAAGGTTGGATATCATCCATCAATTAGTTCTTCATAAGGAGACGTTTAAAGGTTTTTCTGTTTTTAGCGTTAGCAGCCCCTAAAAACTTGATAACATACTATCTAAGAATGCTACAGACAAAGTTTGATGATTATCCATCAACTAGTTCAGTTAGGTTTTTCTATTTTTAGCTACCGGTATAGCGGCCCCTAAAAGAGCCCAATCAAATAAATATGAACAAAAGGCTACCTAAGAATGGTACAGACAAAGTTTGGTGATCATCCATCCATTAGTTCATTAAAAGAAGACGATTAAAGTCCCCTTTTAGCTTTAGCGGCCCTGAAAAGGTCCAATCAAACTAGAACTGCCACTTTCATGGCGTGAATACCCCCGCATACCACTTTGGCAGAATCAACAGTGGCCATACACTGACAACCTCCCTGCCAAATCTGAGGTTACTAAGCAAGTGCATTGCTAAGTTATGTATTCTACATGCTTCAAATGTGAAAATGTCAAAATCAATACATTGCTGACATGACATTCTTTGGCAATTAAGAAGAAAAGCTTTTTTTTGTCAAGGTCCCTGTGACCTTGACCTTTGACCCAGTGACCTCAAAATCAATAGGGGTCACCTTTATAATCATGAAAATCAACATTTCCATTGCAAATATGAAGATTGAGGGTCAAAGGAATCTTAAGTTAATGGTGGACAAACTTTTTGAAGTCAAAGTCCTATGACCTTGACTTCAATCCAGTGACCTCCAAAATCAAAAGGGGGTCATCTCACTTAATCATGATATCAACATCCCATGCAAAATATCGAAGACTGTGGGTCAAAGGAATCTAAAGTTATTGGGCAGACAAACTTTTTGAAGTCAAAAGCTCGCCTGATGACCTTGACCTTTGACCTGGTGACCTCAAATATCAATAGGGGTCATCTACTAATCAAGATCCAACATCCATGCCAAATATAAAGACTGTGGGTCAAATGAATCTTAAGTTATAGGGCCGGACAAGCTTTTTTTGAACGTGAAGGCCCCTGTGACCTTAGACCTTTCGACCTGAGTGACCTCAAAGTCACATAGGGGTCATCTACTAATCATGACATAACCTCCATGCCAAATTTGAAGACTGTGGGTCAATAGGAATCTTAAGTTTTTGGGCGGGACAAGCTTTTTGAAGTCAAGGCCCCTGTGACCTTGACCTTTGACCTGGTGACCTCAAAATCATTGGGGGTCATCTACTAATCATGACTTACCTCCATGCCCAAATATGAAGACCTGTGGGTCAAAAAGAATCTTAAGTTATTGGGCGGACAAGCTTTTGAAAGTCAATGCCCCTGTGACCTCGACCTTTGACCTAGTGATCTGCAAAATCAATAGGGGTCATCTACTTATCATGACTAACCTCCATGCCAAATATCGACGACTGTAGGTCAAAAGGAATCTTAAGTTATTGGGCGGACAAGACCTTTTTTGAAGTCAAGGCCCCTGTGACCTTGACCTTTGACCTAGTGACCTCAAAATCAATAGGGGTCATCTACTAATCATGACTAACCTCCATGCCAAATATGAAGACTAAGGGTCAAAGGAATCTTAAGTTATTGGGCGGACAAGAAAAAAACCGACGGACGGCCGGACGGACGGACGGACAAGCTGATTCCAGTATATCCCCTTACAACTTTGTTGTGCGGGGGTATAATTAATATGAGCAGATTTCTTAACAGACTACCTAAGAATAGTTTACTAGACTTCAAAATAAGGAAAGGCAGAGTAAGGTTTTTTTAGCACTGAACTTTTACCCAATGAGAACTATCTACCTACAAAGTTCCTTGTTGATATCTCTTATGATTTTAGAGTTATGTTCCGGACAAAGTTCAAAGTGTAAAAATAAATAAAGGGCAATAATTCAACTAGAACTCCGCGAGTCGGATGTGTCGCCTTGTGAACAATATAGTTTAGGAGAAATGGCCAGGACAAAAATGAAATTTGAAAATCAACAAAAGGCAATAACTCAAGTACCAGTTTTTGAGCACTGTACTTCTTCTTAATGAGATCAATCATCCTATGAAGTTTCATGTCCATAGCTTTTATACTTTAGGAGAAATGGCCTGGACAAAATTAAAGTATGAAAATTAACAAAGGGCAATAACTCAAACAATAAAAAATGCAGAGTACCAGTTCTTGTGCACTGCACTTCTCTTTAATGAGATCTATCTCCTAATGAAGTTTCCTATGTCCATAGTTTTTTATAACTTTAGGAGAAAATGAACCTGGACAAAATTAAAAGTATGAAAATTAACAAAGGGACAATAACTCAATAAATAAGAGGTGCAGAGAACCGGTTCTTTGTGCACTGCAACTTTGGGTCTTTATAAGAAGCATGCATACCAAGTTTAATTTGAAGTCAATCCGACTTATAATGACTGACTTATGCTCCGGACAAGTTTAAGGGGACGCCGACGTCGACACCAACAACAACGCCGACACCGACAACGACGCCGACAAAAGTAACCCCTATGTGTCGCCTTTTTCAAGGCGACACAAAAATTAGGCAAGGTAGAGTTCCAGTTCTTGTGCACTGCACACCTACTCAATGAGATCTATCTACCTACAAAGTTTCATGTTGATACCTCTTGTTGTTTCAAAGTTTTGTCCCGGACAAGAAAAGCGGACGGAGGGACAGACGGATGGACAAAGCAGCGACTATATGCTCACCCTTCGGGGGCATAGCAAAAAGTACTACATAACATGTATACACAACTATAGCCATAAATGTTTAAATGTTCCTTTGATGAAGTTTTATTGAATTACTCTGTAATAAGTCCAGATAGAGTTACGGTTTTTGAGCACTGCACTTCCTCTTATTGCGCTTGACCATTGTATGAAGTTGTTTGGAAATTCAAACATTTGTTTATTAGTTATGCACCAAACGAGGAAAAGGAACAAAGGGCAATAACTCTACAAATGCTTAGTATAGAGTTATGGTCATTGTTCAATGGACTTCCTTACATTGCGCATGACCATTGTATGATGTTGTATTGATTTCCAACAACTAGTTTTCAAGCTATACACTGGACAAGAAAAAGTAACAAGGGCAAAAACTATATAATTAGTCCAAATAACGTTATGGTTCTTGTGCATTGCACTTCATCTTGCTGTGCTTGGTCATTGTATAAAGGTGTATTGAATTCCAACCATTATTTTTCAAATAATGCACTGGACTAAAAAAAGTTACAAATGGCAATAACTTAGTAATTAGTCCAAATCGAGTTATGGTGCTTTAGTACTGCACTTCATTTCGCTGCGCTTGACCATTGTATAAAGTTGCATTGAATTCCAACCATTAATTTCAAGTGATGCACTGGACAATAAAAAGAAACAAAGGGCAATAACTCTAAAATGAGTCAATAAAGAGTTATGGTTCCTGTGCACTGCGTTTGCTCTTATTGTGCTTGACCATTGTATGAAGTAGCATTTAATTCCAACCATTATTTTTCAAGTTATGCACTGGACAATAAAAAGTAATGAAGGGCAATAACTCTGTGATTAGTCAAGATGATGTTTTGGCACTTTTTCTCAATGTGCTTGACCATTGTATGATGTATTATTGAATTCCAACTAGTGGTTTTCAAGTTATGCTCTAGGCAAGTAAAATGAAACAGAAAAGTAACAAAGGGCAATAAGTCTAAAATTATTTTAGATAGAGTTATAGTTTTTGTGCACTGTACTAACCCTTATTGTGCTTGACTATTGTATGAAGTTGTTTTGAATTGCAATCATTACTTTTCAAGTTATGCTCCGGACAAGGAAATGTATCAAAGGACAATAACTCTGTAATAAGTCAAGATGGAGTTATGATTCTTATGCATTGCACTTCCTCTCAATGTGCTTGACCATTGTATGAATTTGTATTGAATTCCAACTAGTGGTTGTCAAGTTATGCTCGGGACAAGAAAAAAAGCCATGAAAAGAAACAATAACTCTATAATTACTCTGGATATAGTTATGGTTCTTGTGCACTGCACTTCCTCCTACTGTGCTTGACCATTGTATGAAGTTGCTTTGAATTGCAATCAGTACTTTTCAAGTTATGCTCCGGACAATGAAAAGTATCAAACGGCAATTACTCTGTAATTAGTCAAGATAGAGTTAAAGTTATTTTGTACTGCACTTCATCTCAATGTGCTTGACCTTTGTTTGAAGTTGCATTGAATTCAAACCATTAGTCTTCTAGCTAAGCTCCGAAAAAGGAAAATGCAACTGACCGCCGCTGGACCAACCGACCAACACACAGACCAACCGACAACCAGGTGACTCCTACATACCCCCCCCTCTCCAAAAAAAATAATAAACAAACAACTTCCTTTCAGGGGTATAATAAATGCATCTAGAAAATGCTATGTTATATATCCAAAGAAGTAAATATGATACTTTTCCTGGATCTGAAGCTATACTTTGTATGTACAACTTTAATCTGCCTCACTGTTCTGATAAATTGCAAGACTCTCACTCTTCGTACACATGTATGAGGGTTAAAAAACAATCTTTGTCTAAAGCAAAATTGACAAAAATGTTGTTTGACCTAAATAGTTTTACCTACTATTCTTCTTAACGTATAAATCAAATAAATGTATGATAATGTTTGTGTCTATTGAACAGAACATGTATATATCAACATCTTGTAATGTTCAATGATTTAAGCTGGCCAATGTCTATTTAAAGTCACTTTAAAACGATGTTAACATGACAGGGTTTAGTCTTGGCTTAAGTAGATACTGATTCTGTTACTTGAGACTAGTTCAACATCGAAAGCCTTTGTAGATGTCGTACCACAATATAACGTGGTTACATGGATAATATCTTGTAAATGGGTTTTAAGTTTGGTAAGTTCTTATTCACACGCAAAACTCGCTTTCAAGTCATGCAAAAAATTTTTAAGTGAAAGATATTCAATTTTCCACAGCCCCAACCTACAAATTTATTAAGACCAACACGACGGGTTTGCAAAAATAGAAATTTTTATCACATAAAATTCGCAACAGCACATTTTCAATGCTTTGTAAAAACATAACACTTAAACCTTGCAAAATTGAAACTATTTATAAATAAAAAAAGAACGTTTGGTAATATTTAGACAGAAAAATATTTAAAAAGAAGGGACCTACCAACACCAAAATTGTAGTAATCTTCACGAACTGTTAGTTCTGAATATCGTTTTGTTGGGAAATAACCTGGAGTTCCAAATTGTTTAGACTGAGTAAGTGACACCTTTGTCTGGCCTTCATTCATTTCACGTGCAAGACCAAAGTCGATCAATCTTGCATTTAAGTGTTTATCCAATACAATATTTGAGGACGTGATATCCATATGCAGGACAGTTCCCCTGTCTTCTTTACTAAAACCAAAATAAAAAAATGTTTAATTCTAGAAATATAGGATACATAGTTTTTTCTCAATGGATGTACTATTCTAGATTACTTTATTGTTAATAATGACATACCCCGGTATAAATTTATAAAATTTTCTTGTAAAGACCCACAAGGCCTAGAGCATAGATATTTTGCATAAGGTATCGTCAGGTAGACCTTTACCAAGATTGTTCAAACCATAGCCCCGGGGCAAAAACCGTCCCCGCCCCGGAGGTCATTAACATATTATGATAAGCATAGGAAAAACTTACCTGTAGTCTTTCACAGGTGTATGTAGATAATGTATAGCCGAAGCAACTTGGAAAAGTATTTCAATACGACGCCTGTGTTTCAGTTTTATTTTTTCCCTGTCTTTCTCCTCTTCGTCATAGTCTATACATGAGCGCAAACTTCCGTTTTTAAGATATGGTGACAGGAAATAGTATTCGCTGAAAAAATAAAAATAATTCAAACAAAATCTGTTTGTGGTGGGAAATGACAAATGTAAAGGAAAATCATGACAAAATATTACATTCATGTTTGATGATATTGCATAATGTGGATGATATAAAGGAACAACTATTTAAGTTTTAGACAACTTCATCCATGAAGAAAACATGAATAAAAGTGCGAAGAAAAAAATGTTTTTAAAATATATTCATAAACTTAATATTTAAGGTATATGGATCTTGCATCTTCATTTCATTGTGCTATATTGACAGTATGTAAAAATAATGAAACAATTTTTTCAAAGGTAAAATGTTTCGATACTTTTAGGCCGGGATGCACTGGTCTACCATAAAATTTTAACATAACAATCTTCACACATACCAAATCTCACTCATTGGATAATTATGGAGGGCATTCGTTTCCAAACTTCCAGACATGTATGTTCCTTTTAAAATTACTTTTGAAAATGCGAGCTTGTATGCCTACCATTTTTATTGTATCCGTGCATATCACATAATGTGCCTCTTAATTTAAGGTTCCCGCCTTTATATAACAAGTTTACATATAGATCTTAACAACTTACTGAAACAAATTTACAAGTTTGTATCTACCATTGCATACAATACATATGCAAGATTGCACACTTATAGATAGCTATCTGTACCCGAGATATACAAATGAAATGTTAAACTAGAATACAGAAAATAGAGTTTAAGAAAACGTATTTACTACAAGAGTACGTTTACATAGTAACATGCTTAATATGACAAAAGACATTCACAAAGTTAAACGAAGTCATGCATGACGCCCCGCCCCTCTTTGAGTAAGTAAGTAAGTAAGTAAGTAAGTAAGTACGTAAGTACGTAAGTAAGTAAGTAAGTAAGTAAAGTCTTTATTTACAGAGGCTACACATTTAGTTACCCAATCTTCCATGTGGGTCTCAAAACATAAATATACATAAAATATCCATAAATTAATTTACATCATGGTTATACAGTGAAATTTTCAAATAACATACATGAAAACACAGTACTTACGGACTTCTATTACGGAAATAAACGGACAGGTATAAAACCCGGTGCCTCTCCTCTATTTCTTCAAGGAAACCTTTTTTTAATTAAAATGAGATTGTGATACAATAAACATTATGTGCTGATTGTTTCATTTCTATGGCAAGTGATTGGGCGTGGCTTATTTTCAACGTAGTAAAATGCTTTGCCTTAACTTTATAGAGTGCGTTAACTGGAGTGCGGGTATAAGTATTATTTGTATTAGTACCCAACACTCCGGTTACTACTCTGCCTGTTTGATGCTTAAAAATGATGTAGCTAAAAATTAAAATGAACTTCATTTCTAATACAACAAAAACTATTTATTTCTAAATTCTGATATTGCTTCTTCCACAATATGCATTCTAGATTCACAATTATAAAATCCAGAATGAGTTGTATGTCAGTTGTCCCAATTTAATTCTATTTTAAATACCAGAATCGAAAGAATTTGTTTTAAGACTATTCTTCTTTTGCTTTAAGCCACTGGCCTCCAGATGGTAAAATGATAAAATAAACGGTCAATATTGATCTTGTAAGGTTAAGGTGTAAATCCATTATTACTGAAATCTTAATTCAAGAATGAATATTGAAAAAAGCGTCAAAATATTGTGATTTTCCTTGGCATAGTCTACTACATTAATAACGCATTAGCCAAAAATAATAGGAGAAGATAATTTATTTATTATGGACACGTGTCACAACAGTGGTTCATAAAATGTCGGTATCCGGTATGCCCGGGGTCGTATATCATTTTTTGTTGCACATATCATATTTCAGTAAAAGTTTAAATTAATAAATTGGTCATCATAAACATAATATAACTAGAGCTATCACTAAAGGTGATTAATACCCCCACCAGCAACTTTTAAAAAAAGTAATCTGAAGAAAAATTGAACTCAACCTATAATAAATGTATGAACAAAGAATTATCTCAATTAATTGCAATGCCAACCAGGATCTTCAAATAAGCTTGCTATAAACCAAGTTTGATTAAAATATTTCACTTTCTGTTGCAGGAAAAGCAAACTGTTTGTTTTCAGAGCAATCATGTTAATATATGAACATTTTGATGTGTCATTTCAATTTTTTCAACTAAAAAGGTTTTTGAAGATGGATTTTGAAATATTAGTAAGACGGTAGTTTTCCTATTATCTTCTTGAGGCAAGCTGCTTTAAAGCAAAATGGTTGCAGGATCAAATAAAGAAATTAGAAACAGAAAATTTCAATTTTATTATAAATTCTTTTGCAACATTTATTTTATTTATTTTCTAAATAAAATGATCCTCTTTTTATGCAATATATCTCAAAAATATAAATATGTATCAAAAATAATGTATATGCATAGAAAAAGACAATGTACTGCAAACATTTAGAATATAGAAGGAAAACACTTTCTTCCACAACGTGTCTTGCTACAACCTAGATCGTTTTTTTTTTGTTTTTTTTTTGTTAGTTCCTGGTCAAAAGGGTGTTTCATTCTTATTTATCTGTATTTCTGCAAATGCTGGGACATTCTTATCTAGGAAATGCTTTTCGTGCTCTCTAACATCGCACAAATGTCTCATCTCCTTATTGATTTCTTATTTTCAAAATAACTTATTTTCAAAAGAAAACGAATAAGCCGGAACGACGACGCCTTTTTTCCATATGCTATCAGCTCATCTTTGTTGTCGCCAGGTTTCAAATATAAATGTATCTATAGTCAAAAGAATTCGTAACTTATTCTTGAAAGGACCTAAATACAGAATTCCTTCTGAGATTGATTTTAATGCTTGTCGTGGTCAGATTGCTGAATCTATAGAGGATTTTTCGGTCAAATGGTGTCGCCGTGAAAATGCGGATAGTAATGCTCTAGTTACATGGAAACGTAACATCTTTAAGATTATTGATTCACGTATTAATTTTTATCGTGGAAATGAACATCTTTTGCCACCTAGACCAAGACTTACTTTAAGACATCTGAAAAAAGATATTCTAGCTTTTCATTCAAAATTTGTTTTGGTGCCAGCGGACAAGGCGGCTAATAATATTACAATTGTATGACGAATCCATTACATTAACGTTTTGCATAAGGAACTAAATAGTACTAATGCGTATTCTAAAACCTCTGCCTCCGAAAAAGACATTGTCAACAATAATTTACTAATATTTCCAATCTTAAAGTCCAAATTAATGAAAAAGAACTCAAACTTCCTATTATGTATTGGATTCCTAAATTACATAAAAAACCTTACAAAGCCAGATTCATTGCTAATTCTACATCTTGCACAACAAGTAAACTTTCTATTTTATTGACGTCTTGTTTGACTGCCATTAAAACACATGTAATTAGATATTGTGATAAAATCTATGAAAACACAGGCAAACATCTCTTTTGGTCAATTAAAAATTCTGGTGAAATCTTGGATAAATTCAAGATTAAGAACTTTCAAGCTTCAACTGTCAGTACATACGATTTTTCTACACTTTATATAACTTTGCCACATAAATTCCCTAATTCAGAAAACTTTTGCACGGGAAAAAGTTACCTTTCTAGCATGTAATTCTAACAAAGCTTTTTTTACTAACGGTATTGTTAAACATTATACTATGTGGACCTGTGACGAAGTTTGTAGAGCACTCTCTTTTCTTTTGGACAATATTTATGTCAGGTTTGGTAATACCCTATTTAAACAGATCATAGGAATTCCTATGGGTACTAATTGTGCACCCCTGGTCGCCGATTTGTTTTTGTACTGCTATGAAAGAGACTTTATGTTGAGTCTCTCTGAAGATAAACAACAAGATGTTATAGTCGCATTTAATAATACTTCCAGATACCTTGATGATATTTTTAATTTAGATAATCCTTATTTTGATCAAATGGTGTCTGACATTTATCCACATGAACTACAACTTAATAAAACGAACTCTTGTAATTTTAGTACATCATTTTTGGATCTTCAAAATTACTATCAACAACAATTCTCTTCACACGAAAATCTATGATAAAAGAGATGACTTTGACTTTTGCATAGTTAATTATCCACATTTAGATGGAGACGTACCCCATGCAACATCTTACGGGGTTTATGTTTCTCAGTTAATTAGATTCGCTAGAGCTTGTAGCAACGTAAAGGATTTTAACGAGCGGAATATTTTTATTACCAACAAGCTTCTAAAACAGGGCTACCGCTATCATAAATTACGGAAATATTTTACTAAATTTTACAATCGTAACTTTGATTTTATTTCTAAATTCAATAGTGATTTAAAAACTCTTCTGCGACAAGGGATTAGCCAGTCTGGTTTTTATGGCGATGTGATTTACAAACTTCGTAAGATTTTGGGTCATGGTAATTTTTCTGCTGTTTTTACTAAAATCATTAAACGTTTTATTAAAAGAGGTTATGACTCTACTATTTTAAGACATACTGCATGTTAAGTGTTCAACCCTTTTACAGTTGGACACTACGCTTTCCTCTTTTGATTACATCTGACGGACCAAGTGGGAGACTCTATGATGGATAGTTCGTAAAGCCCTTTGGGACTGAATTGTCTTTATGTTCGTCTTCTGCCTTGCTTCGTCGGGCCCTTGTAGGTGATTTTCTTGTTGCTCTGTCTTCCTTTAGGACATTGAGAACACTTGTTATGGTCATTGGGTTTATTTTTATATGTTTCTACATGATCATTTTAGTGTTTTACTTATTTAACCTTTTGTAACCATGACAACTGTTAGAATTTCACTTGGCGGGGATTCATTTTATTTACACTGTCTCGTTTATAGGAACATGGTGGGGCTAAGAGCGAGGTTTGGTGCACCATTAACCGGTTTAAACTCCCCAGCAGTCATTATTATGCTGCTGACCGTTCCAAGGCGGCGCCCCTCTGTGTTCCTCAGATGTATGTCTATGTCGTTTCTTACTGTTTTGGTGACACTTTTGCTTGTGTCCCTTGTTGTTTTCTCG